CCCTAATCCTGTAGAAACTGTGGGAGATAATGATCAAACCACTTCTGTTGCTGTGTTATTCGGGGTTAACTATTTGCCCACTTGTGGCAGCAGTGGCCAGTGGGCAAATTGTTAAAAACTGCCTGTGGGGGTCACTATGTGTCCCCTATTAGGTTGAGGTTTTAGACATGCACTGACCAGCAGCCCCAGGGTTAACCTCCTGCTGCCTCAGTTCTGGCTCAGTTCTGCCGAATTGGTTTTCATGACTGAATTTTGCTGAACCAAACTTGCACATTGCCAAGCTTCAGAGCCGCTCTATCATTAAATATTATTATCTAGAATATATTTTTGAGAACTACAGAATTGTCAGTGGCCAAAAGTGTGTCTTATGTGTTGTTGTTTCTAGTATTTAACTTTAGACTTGTGTTGACTTGTCTGCCTTCCATACTCCTGACCTTGACTCTGTTTACCATCTTCATTACTCTGGTATCCCTGACCTCGGTTTGTTTCTGACCTTTCGCCAGCTGTTTTAAGGTCTTTCTCACCAATTGTTTGTTGTTTATGTTCCACTGTACTGTCTCGGATTTCGTATGCAGTTTTTTTTTTACGTATCTGGAGATCTTGTGGTGTGTAACCTAAGATAATGAGCCTGGAATGGGTAACTTTGTCATATTACATAGTTTCATAGTTACATAGCTGAAAAGTGACTTGCGTCCATCAGTCTTCCTCACATTTTTTACGTTTTTGCTGTTGATCCAAAGTATCCAAAATAACTTATATCATAAGTTGTGAAAAAACAAATAATAATAGTAATTATTACAATCAAACGAGTAGCAGCATGCACAGATGGGTATAAAATAGTACAACATACTTCAACTGCCAGTCAACATATGGTAACTCACTTATTCATCCTAAAGAAAATAAATTGTAAAATAAATACATTTGAGGACCAGTTATGTTATTGATTACAGAGATTTTCTAAAACCTGGGCCAATGGTCATGTTCCTGCTTCCTGGTTACGTTTGACTGCTGAAACCATAATATTTTTCTACAACCTTTGCCTTGACACCATTGCCACTTGTTCCTTTAAATACCAGCTCGGGGCAGAAATGGTTGCACACAAATTTACCTCTGTCAGAAATTCTTCTGTACATTTTATTATTTCACCTTTGGCTCTCTACTGATCATTTTTAACCTTTAGCACTTTTATATCTATACAGCTCAGTCTGCTTTCAACAGGAGATGTATGTTGTCAGAGAAACATGGAGAGAGAGAAAAAAAAACCTTAAAAATTAATTTAAAAAATCGAACTTAATGGGACAGTTCTGGAGTTTTTAAAAAACCTTTATATTTTATCTTGAATGAGACAATCAGGAGAATTTCACTTGAATGAGTCAAAAAGGAGAATTCAAAGTGAATTAAACATGAATTTCAAATTTAAAGGGAAACTATAGTCACCAAAACAACTTTAGTTTAATCAAGCAGTTTCTGTGTATAGATTATGCCTCTGAAGTCTCACTGCTACATTTTCTGCCATTTAGGAATTAAATCACTTTTGTTTCTGTTTATGCAGCCCTATCCACACCTCCCCTGGCTGTGACTGACAGCCTGCATGAAAACTAAATTGGTTTAATTTTCAATCACATGTTAAATTACTGTTAAAAGTTTTATTTCCTACCCTGTAATTTTTATTTTACTTACATACAGGAGGCTCCTGCAGGGTCTAGCAAGCTATTGACAGTGCAGGAGAGATGAATTTCTGAATTTAATAGAATTTGCTGTAAAGTAGTGTAAACATTAGATGACTCTTTACAGGAATTGTTTAGGAAGGCTGTGTAAGTGACATGCAGGCAGGTATGACTGGGATTGTATAAACAACGTGATTTAACTCCTAAATGGCTGAGAACTGAGCAGTGAGACTGCAGGGACACGGTCTATATCATTAAGCTAAAGTTGTTTTTGTGACTGTAGTATTTCTTCTGGGCACTACTGGAGCCTAAATAATTAAATTGTTTGCTAGTAAATGGCTCTAGGGCTGATATGTGATAGTTGAAGAACTGACATTTTGTGTTCTAGACTGGATTCTGCTTGTCTTAGTGTTCCAACAAGGCTTAGCACTGCTTCTCAGTACCTGAAACCCTGGTCAGTTTGAAGAATGGAAGGTGCCAGTGACTGCTGAATTCAAACTGCACTCAATTTAAAGTTGCAATGGTGAATCTCTTTTAAAGTCAGTGAGCAATTTATTTGTAGCTATTCAATGCTACACACAGATAAGAAAATATTGGATTCAAAGTAAGAACGCAGTGTAATATGAATGGTTTTTCTAGAATCCTGAGATGCAAGTATTGTGTGCTGTCTGATTACCAGCTAGCTATGTAGATCAAAGTACAATTATAATGACCTTTATCTTCAGTCTGAGAGAAGATACACCTGCAAGGCTGAGTTAGAAACCAGGAAATTCCCAAAGCCAGGGTCAACCTTAAAGGACCACTAGATGCACTCAGACCACTTCATCTCAATGAAGTGCTCTGGGTGCAGTGGCCCTGCAGTTTTAACCCTGCAATATAAAACAATAACATTTTTGTAGAAACTGCAATGTTTACATTGCAGGGTTAAATATAGCTCTAGTGGCTGTCAATCCCTTACTATAGCCCCCTAGCCCCCACTATAGCCACTGCTCCCCCCCCCTATTACAGCCTTTATATCCCCACTACAGCCACTATTCCCTTACCATAGTTACTAGTATTCCCACTACCACCCCCATTCCTCCACTATAGGCCCTATCCCCACACTTTAGGCTCTCTGCTCCCATTATAGCCCTTGTATCCCCACCACAGCCCCTATTCTCCTCCTATAGCGCCTGTCCCTAATGCGGCCACTATCCTTCCCACTACAACCCTTATTCTTCCACTACAGCTTCTATCTCCCACCATAGCACTAGCCACCTCACAATAGTCCCTATCCTCTCACAACAGCCTCTAGCCCCCCACTATTGCTCCTATACCCTAACATTAGTCCATAACTCCCACTCTAGCCAATATTCTCCCACTATGGCCCCTATACTCTTATTATAGTTGCTATCCCCCCACTATTGCCACTATCACCTACACTACAGAGCCTATCACTCCTATCCCCCACTATAGTACTACCCCCACTTAAGCGCTATCCAAAACTGCAGCCCCAAATGCAACATACTATGCATCCCACACAATCCCAAAAACACACACACACCCTCTCCCAGCCCTGTCCCACTTATCATCCAACTACTAATCGACTCATATTCAGCATTAAATCATACCTCAGCTGTATAACTTTGTGTGTGTATATATATATATATATATATATATAAACCTGCATAATCCTTGCACTCACGCTATAAGCTGTAATGCCGTGTGCCAAAGCCTGGGCTGACGTAAATACAATTCCACAGATAAGGCTGCACTCACGATCTTCATAAAATCTAAAATGCTTTATTAGGTATTCATTAAAAATAGGATCAATGTTTCAGTCCCTCGTGAGATTTTCCTCAGGATCAAAAAAAAACAGGAGGAAAGTCCCATGGGGGACTGAAACATTGATCCTATTTTTAATGAATACCTTATAAAGTATTTTTGATTTTATGAAGACCAGGAGTGCAGCCTTATCTGTGGAAATATATATATATATATATATATATATATATATATATATATAAGAAAATTATAAATGCAACACTTTTGTTTTTTCCACATTTTACATGGGCTGAACTTAAAGATCTAAGACTTTGTCTATGTACACAAAAGGTCTGTTTCTCTCAAATATTGTTCACAAATCTGTCTAAATCTGTGTTAGTGAGCACATTTTAGAGTGGCCTTTTATTGTGGCCAGCTTAAGGCACACCTGTGCAATAATCATGTTTAATCAGCATCTTGATGTGCCACACCTGTGAAGTGGATGGATTATCTCAGCGAAGGAGAAGTGCTCACTAACACAGATTTAAAAACTATGAACAATATTTGAGAGAAAAGAAAGAAGGACTAAAGGGTTGCAGATTTAAAAAAAGCCCCCATGATAGACCTTGTATCCTTAAGAGAGAAACTGCTCTGCAAGTATTTGGACGGTGCCTAGATAGAGAGCAAAAAACTAAAACAATATAATCTTTAATAGTCCCCGATAGGGAACAACACGGAAAGGAAAATCCCTAAAACAAAAAAATAGTAACAAATCCAAAATAATGATCAAAAAATAATAAGTGACTGTATCTAAATAGTACGTTGCAAATTGTTGCAAACAATATAGACAGTCTATGTAGATGATCCAAGGGATTTAGAGGGGATATAATAGACCAGTATTAGGCAGACGGGTATATGTGGCAATAATATAATAATGTGATGATGATTCCTGGTAATTAAATCAAGAAACCTGGCCACTATTAAAATACTTTTATGCACAATTCGCACATGATTGTACGCCTCATCAAGATAAGAGGGTGGTACGGAAATAAGCAAAAATAAACTATAAAGGTAAAGTCAAAACCAGACCCAAGTGAGGATATAGTTATGGTCTAGAGGTGTAACAACTAAGTAGCCATAGTGCTTCTTAATACCGAGATAATATCTGAAAATCCCAGCAGATTAGGCAGTTGCTGTAACCAAAGACCAACAAATCCAAATAAGAGCGTACCAAATATCAATATACATGTGTGGATAAAAGTATCCAAATATCAGAGCCTTATAAGAGCAAACGTGCTGAAATGCTATAGGAGATTTGGGGGAAGGGTGTCCCTAAAGTGAAAAAAGAAATATAATAAGGCTGAAAAAAGTAACTGGTTCAATTTCCCCCATGTAACTCTCTCATTAGAGAGAGAGAAATAAATTGAGGGACATTTGATGGTCCTAACTTAAAATCATTCAAATGGGGGGCAAAAACAAAAGTGTTGTGTTTATAATTTTGTTCAGTGTATATATATATATATATATATATATATATATATTCCTAACATATGGCAATCCTTTTAAATTCATATGTAACTTCTAACTCATTGTCAAGGTTTCAGTTAGACTAAGCTAACTTTTTTCAGGATGAAAGTTAGCTTAGTCTAACTGAAATGTTAACAACAAACAAAGTTATAAATGAATTTAGAAGTCCTTGGAGTGCCGTTTGTTTGGAAGGTGGATTATCTGCTTCATGTTGCACATGGCAAGTGGAAATTGAAGTCCTCGAGTGCAAGATCTGTGAATGATTTTTTATACCATTCACATATATATATACATCTCAGGGGTACATTGAGGAAACTGGCCTTGGGGTAGATACATCCCTGAATGACAGGTGTGCCCTTGCGCCTCCCCATTGTAGGTCCTACTGTTTTAGAATAATTTGAATTCATACCTGTTGTCTGCTGCACACTGCTCCCCGCTTCTACTAATTCAGACAGAGAACTCGAAGTTGTTCTCTGTCTGAGCTAAACCCAGCGGTGTAGTAAGTGTGAAGGAAGGGTGTGTAAGTCACAGCTTGGGGAAGTATGGCTACACTGCCTTTAAATGACGTATCCCTTTAAATTAAGCTGGGTACAGTCTCATTTATTTACCAGGTGCCAGTTTGGTTACGTCTGAAAACACTACAACAGTGGTTCCCAATCATTTTAGGTCCAAGGCTCCCTTAATATTTTGGTTAGAGCTTCCGGGGTCCCTTTCTCCCTCCCCTGCCGGCTGCAGCCTTTAAGTGCTAGCAGGCCAGTGAGGGATATCTCTGATCTCCCCTCTGGTCCTGCAGGACCAGCATGGGAAAAATGAGGCACGGTTTCTAGAGCTATGGTCATAGCACCGGGGACACATTTTGCAGCGTCCCTGTGTACTGGGGCACCACAGCACACAGTTTGGGAACTGCTGCACTGCACTCTTTTACTTTTCATGCTCTTTTGGACAAAAGTAGCACTGTGGAAATATATAAATAAATTAGATTTTTTTTTTTTTAAATGATATTCCTAAATGTTTACTGGAATATATCCTGCACTCATACAAATATAAAAAGTACTTGCTATTTAAATATGGGTAGCCGAAGCAAAATGAATACATTTCATACACTAGTCACAGTAAAAAGAGTTAATATCCTGTATAATGCAACTCCCAATTAACTTCAATGCGAGAAGGCATTATTGAAGTCAGAGTATGCCATTGTCTTCTGTATATTGGACTTTGTCAGTAGACCATTCAGCATGCTTTGTAGTCATGTTTGTACAAGTTATTTTATTCTCACGCAATGTAACACGAAATATGTCATCTGGGGGACTACAAGAAAGACATTATTGAAGTTATCTACGATGATAATGTAAATCGCAACAATATGATATATTGATTAACTAATGATTTCATCCATACAGTGGATACGGTGGATTTAATGAAACTGCTAATACATATTTATTTTGATCAAATTAGAAAGATGTGCAATAAAATTGTCTTTGCATCTGTGTGTTTGCAAATGATGACATTCGGCAGATGCAAGGTGGACTGCGGACAGAGCTTGCCTGTTTTTCCACCCAGGCACGGCAACATGGTGAACATCCATCCATGAAATTCTGTACCATTATTAGCTCAACATATACATCTCTTGGTACACACAACATATACTCAGATTAAAGAGCATTACATTTTACTTACACAATAATATAAATGAAAAGGTCTATATAGTATAAATTTGAATGCAGGAGTTATAGCCTATATACTGAGGATTGATAGGTAAGAGAGAAGCAGGAGAATGTTCCTGCAGCTATTGCTACTGCTTCCCTTCCCAGCTGTAGTTGCTGCTATTATTTCTTTGGTGAGTGCATTTCACTTGTCACAGTAATATAGGAAGGTAGTACATACCTCCCACCATTTCAAATTAACTAAGAGGGACACATTAATTTCAGAGGCTTGGGTGGGCCCATGGCCAAAGGGCAGGGTCGTTGAATTACTAATAACAATTTACGAAACTAAAATTTAGAACAAACACAATGTATTTTGTTTACATGGTAGTCATTGTAAAAATCACATAATGTTTAGAAACCAATAAAGAAATGTAAAAACAATGTTCTTATACCATATGCATAAAAAGCAGGGGCTCAGGGGGGGACCGAAAAAATGGTTAAGAGGACCTGTAGTATCTCATTAAACAGTTCAAGAAAATGTGCATTCTTATCTTTTCATTGGAGCTAACTCAATAATCAGGGACTTTCAAAATCAGCTGATCCAAAAATATCACTACTTCTATTCCAATAGGGCAAAAAGGGTTTGGGCAAACTAAGAAAAGAAAATGAGCATGCAGACTAAGGGGAGATAGCCAGCACATGGATGGAGCTAACCTGCCTAAATTAGACAAATCCAACAAGCTCACATATACTGACAGTGTTGTTATCCCAGTCATATTGCCATATTTTAGCATTACCATGTTACTACACCTATACTACTGAGGGTAGACTACTTTTGACAATTATCTTTAGCAAGCCATTTATCAATTAGCTCTCTGCACCACAAAGCAGGGCACTACCCATATTAGCATCTGCTTAAAGGGACACTAAAGCCACCAAAACAACATTAGCTTAATGAAGCAGTTATGGTGTATAGATCCAGCCCCTGAAGTCTCACTGGTCAATTCTCTGCCATCTAGGAGTTAAATCACTTTGTTTATGCAGCCCTAGTCACACCTCCTTGCATGTGACTTGCACCGCCTTCCAAAACACTTCCTGTAAAGAGAGATCTAATATTTACACTTCTTTTATTGAACATTCAGTTTAATTTAGAATTTATTACCTCCTGCTATGTTAATAGCTTGCTAGACCCTGCAGCAGCCTCTTGTGTGTGATTAAAGTTCCATTTAGAGAGCAGTAGATAAAAACATCTGGAGTATGTTAACATTTTGTTTCATACAGGCTGTGTCAGTCACAGCTAGGGGAGGCGTGGCTATGCCTGTATAAACGGAATCAAGAGTGATTTACCTCCTAAATGGCAGAGCATTCAGCAGTGAGTCTGCAGCGGCATGATCTATACACAAAAACAGCTTCATTAAGCTAAAGTTGTTTTGGTGACTATAGTGTTCCTTTAATTATTTGGGATGAAATATTCTAGTTTCATTATTTATATACCGCAATTCACTGTTTAGTGAGTAAACACTCTGAATTGTCCCAGGCCCTAGAAAAGTAGATGTGAACAACAGGGAAATGGGATAACAGAATGTAAACATATCATTAAAGTTCTCTTTCCAGTAATATCCTCTTCAATTGGAAAATCCTGTAATTATTTGACCTCACGTCTTACTTATTTCATATAATTAGGAAACCATTGAACATAGCTGCTGTAATACAAGTCTGGCAAATATTGCAACTGATAAGAAGCTCATTAGCTCCTCGCAAGTCTGCCAGCTGAACATATTGCGTTAATCTTTTTATTGTTTAATTTATGGCACGAAAGGGTAGGCTTATTCAATAACGAAGTGATAACACGAATGCTTCAAAAAATCCTTTAATAGAAAGGTTAGACCAAGTTGTCAGATATTCTATGTATTTCCTGTAGCGAGTGTGTAAGTACGAGTGTATTGCTCAGGGTAGAGAGCCAAGAATCGCGATGGTCTGCAATACAAACGTGTAATAATAAGATGCTTAAATCTTATTACACATTTGTATAAGGAACTAGCACTCCAACCTTCTAGAGATTTGGAAGAGTTTCAGACTCTAACCCGAAAGCAAGTTGTTTTCCTTTCTTCTGGAACACTTCTTTCAAATAATTCTAAATATCATCTACAACAAACGACATAATGAAAGAGTAAAAAAATGTAAAAAGTGTGAGATTTGTTCTTTCTCTATAATGTTACCATGACAACCTACCATCCTTTACGTCAATCCTATATTAGGTGCTCTGACAACAATTCAGATCAAGAATATTTCTTATTATTATGAGTAGTATGACCGGAACATGTTAAATAGTTTAATTATTTTACCATACGCATCATTCCTTTAACATGTGTATGCTAGTGCTTCCCTTTACATCCCAGCACTGAAACAGATGAAATTGATTCCAGAGCTGAAAATTAATTTTGCAAGTTATTCTTTAGTTCCGTTGAAGCCTTCGGAGTGTGGTATTACAATGCAGTTTATTAACTATTTCTATTCAGGACTATTTATTTTAGAAGGGGAACTCAGCAACAGCAGGGTTATAAAGTAAAGGAGAATTCAGAGAGAATTTAGAATTAATTTCAAATTTGAGGTAAACCCCCCCCTCAGATTTCTGTTCGGCTACTCTGCCTCTAAATTTGAAATTCACTTTAAATTCTCACTTTAGTGAATAACCCTTTATGTCTATTTCCAAATATATACTAATTGTTTATTTTTAAAGAGTTACGCTCTTTAAAGAGTTAAAGTCCTTACTAAATAATGGCTTTCTTAGCAAGGATATCAGGATATCACTAAATAGATTTTAGTGTTAGTTTACTTTGAGACATTCTAGCCAACCTGGACAATTAGATTAATGTAAAAGAAAAACAAACAGAGGACCATGTTATTACCAGATAACCAGTAATACCAGGAGAACACAGTAAATGAAGAAGAGAAACAACGTTTCTGGTTTTCCTCCTCCAGTGCATTGTGTGCCCTGAATGTGCCAGTGCTAAGCTGCTTTGTGATGTCAACTGCTGAATTTTTTATATATATTTGAAAGAAAACAAAGCTTCACAAAACAATGTAACACAGATTACATTGATTTGGCATTGCTAGCCACTCTCTTGGCATTGCTTACCTCTCCACTTCGTGCATGTCACCAAGGAGGCAGGGACTCCTCGCGATAGTCCATTCCACTGCTCTTAATAGAGGAGCATTGGGAACTTGATGGCCATGTGCAGCGATTGCCGCATGCACATTCAAACTTCCCCATAGGAAAGCATTGCATGATTCCTTTTTTATGGGGAGTTTTACTAAGTCAGTGAAGTGGAAGTGTCTCTAGTGGCTGTCAGGAGGACAGATATTAGAGGGGGATGTAACCCTGCAATGTAAAAATTGCAGTTAAAAAAAAACCTGCCATGTTTTATATTACAGGGTTAAAAGGACTGGGACACTTCACATCCAGGCAACCTCACAAACAAATAGTCATGTT